AAGAAGAAGAAGAAGAAGAAGAAGAAGAAGAAGAAGAAGAAGAAGCGATCGCAGGAACAAGAGTTTTATTGTCCTGAGGAAAAAGGAGAAATAGCTGACTTAGCAACAACAGCAGGGCAGTCTTACCAAGTTCTTAGTAGGATGATGATAAACATACAAAAAAGACTACTAAAAAAACTATAATTCAATCTAAATGAAAAATGGAACGTCCGCATTAATTCCTGTGGTGAATAATGATGCAATCGAGTAAATTCAGTATGCAAAACTATCATATGGATACTAACACCCTAAAGGCTTCTCTCGTTCTCGGAAAAATGCGTTGGAAAACGTGCCGAAAGATGATATGGATGTCTGGATCAAAAAGCACCGGACATAAAAGGGCAAATCAGGTGTGCATCTGACGCTACAAATTCTACAGTCTACTGATAAGGCGCTTTTGGGTGGAACGTACAATGGATCCACGATAGTGAAGCACTGTGCCCTTGTTGCCGTCCTCTGGTGTGAGGTCGGTGAAAATCCAACCAACCGGACGCAGATCGAGACCATTGGCGGTCGCTAAAACAGGTGGTGGGAGCAATTCCTCGAGTGGGCAGAGGAGAGTAACAGACCGATTGGTTGACTCCTAAAAGTGCAAAACAAGATCAAATGAGGCAAAATGGAGGGATGCTCTACTAAAAACACAAAGATCTAATCAACACATGATAGGGGATAAGAAGAGGATTCGATGGTCAAAGCATGGTTATAAGGCACGGTCTTCGGATTGCCGTTAAAACCCCATCCGTTTATCTTGGTCCACGAAGATCACTGAATGGGATGAGGGCAGAGGGGGGGGGGCGGCGGAAATTGTGACTTACGCCGAATTGCATTGCACGAGAAAGACGTACGAAAATTAGTCAAAATTTCTCGTCCCAATCCCACCTAGTGCTACTGCTCAACTAAGTGAAACCGACTGAAGGTTTGACTCAAGGAACCTTTACTTTCACCTAACCTAGTCGACATTATGGGTAATTGTCGATAGAAGAAGCTCTGCAATGGCCGCGAGACTGTTTGAGACTGCTACAGCTAATGCTCTTGATCAACGAAACCTAACTTTAAGGCATTGATCACAAGAAAATCTACTCAGTGACAGTTTTCGGTTGCCACAATACCGTGCCGTCATAGAGCTCTTGCGATACTTTATGGGGTAGCGGGGTTTTGGGAAATCAGTCTAGTATTAACGCCGCTGTTGATACGCGAGATGTTTTAGGTCGGACTCCCGCAAATAAGTGTGATAACAATACACAGAGGCAGCAAAAACCCAGGGGGTAAATGCTGTATTCGTGGGACACGGGTGCTACAAATAGGTAAGGACGAAATTCATAGAATAGACAATAGCCATATCACTGAATACCGTAGTTAAGGTTCGGCAGCCTGCAATGGGTATGGAGCTTACTGAAAGCTTACTAAGAGAGAAAATCGGACAAAGAAAATCAGCTACTAAGGCCCTATGATTCTTAACTCAGAGGGTAGGCGGCTGAGTAGTAACCTCTTATAAATATTACATTTTAAATGGACCCAATTATGAAAAACTTGTGGTCTCGGTGGGGTCCGAACCAACATCAGCAGGGAAGGCTTATTACAGTCAGCACTCTATCAATTGAGCTACGAAGGCACGCCGAGGGCCTTGAATTTAATCACACTTGGGTCGATTAACCCGCACAGCTTACTGCACGTATGGAATCCACCAATAGGGATACAGTAGACTGCCCAGACAGGATTTTATAAGCAAGCATCCGGAATCCATTAGAATGACTACCAGGCACACTTAATTATTGGTGGATTCCATACTTGCAGTAGGCTGAGAGGGTAAATCGACCCAAATGTGCGTAAAATCACGGCTCTCCGCGTGCCTTC